TGTGTGTGTGTGTGTGTGTGTGTGTGTGTGTGTGTGTGTGTGTGTGTGTGTGTGTGTGTGTTTATAGATGAGGAAGCTCTAAACATTTACAATCTTAGTTTATTAAAAAAAATACAAATACTTCAAGACTGGGCTTCAAAGCTCACACCTGTAATCTCAGCTAGGAGACAGAGATTGGGAAGAGTGTGGCTCAAGGTCACCTACACAACAAAAAATTTAGTTGAGACCTCATATCAATAATTAAACTGGGTGTCACAGCACATGTAGTTTTGTGAAAGGCCATAGATAAAAAGATCAGTCTTGTCCACAGAATGCTTGTCCTTAATTTTCTTTTTGCTCCACACTCATGATATGAGTGATTTTTCTCTCCCATGTGTTCTCATATGGATGTCCTTTAATTCCTAAAATTTTATCCTAATTTTACAGATAGAAACATAGACACAAGGAAGTCACATTATTTAAACACTGACTCCAGAAACAGGACTAAAACAATCTTAACCTCAGCCTAAGCTTTACAGGCTACATCTTACCTAAACCTTTAGCTTCCTTTTTCCTTTGCATATTTTCTTTGGAAAAACTGTTGTTATAACTCTGCCCTTTTGAGATGTATCTAAATTTTTTTATAGAAGCCTGATGGCCAGTTTTACATCTCAGGAATGTCCTGAGAACCTGGGACCAGACCCTCAGGAAAGAGTACCCTGAAGCTCTTAGTCTGAGCCTAACTTTCGGGCATAATGAATTAGTAAATACAGATTGCCTAAAAAGAGAAAACTATTAGCAAAGTCAGTAATAACTCAGTATGTACAAAGCATTCATCCATTAATCACCCTGAGTACCTAGTACTGCTCCATTAGCTTATCCCAGCCCTTAAAATTCCTTCTGCCTTTTGTCACAGAAAAGTTCAGTTCAAATTTAGTACTGGTTTCTCTCCATCCTAGTAGCTTGAGCAATGTTTTTCTTGTCTGCTTAACTTTTTTCTGCTAAAATTTCAGCTCTGATAAGCTCACTAGACAAAATTAACATCCAAAAGAACTTGTCTAGAATACACAAAACCCTGGGCTTCAATCCCAGCACTGGAAAACAACAACAACAAAAGAAAACAATAAAAAGTAAAAAAAAAAAAGAAAGAAATGTAAAATTCTTGGATTTTTTAAATTAAGCACTGTTATGACGGATCACCATATATTCAAATATCACAAATCCCTATCATTTCCTTTCCTAGTAACACTGTAAGCATTACAAATATGTGTTAATTATTCTCATCTACTCAAAAAAGCCAAATATAAAATATATAATAAAAATATAACCAAGCTAATGTGTGCTTAGCTAATCAATCATCAAATCCTACTTCACATTCTTAAATAACTAGCTATTCTTTTCTATTTCTTCAATAAACCCTTCCTGAGTTACTGACTGCTCTCCCTAAAGTGGTCCTTTCTTCATTTTTAGCCTTTCTACCCACTCTTTAACCTCAACTCCTAACAGCCTATTCACCATACTACCACACAAATAGAATTATGTCTCCTCCTAAAATGCCCAGAACCTACAAGACAATACTCACAGTCCTTATTCCAGCTTAGAGAGTCCTTTCCCTCAAACTTGCCTCAATTTACATACCAAAAACATAAACTTTGTGCCATGGTGTGAATTTGGAATGTAACCACTTGGCACTTAACTAGTTCCCAGTCTAGCACTTTGCAAAGGTGGGGCCCACTGAGTGGTCTTCAGGTCACTAGGAACACACTGTTAACAGAGAGAGTGGGATCCACGCCTGGTTCCTCTCTTTTACTTCACATCATGAGGTAATCAAGTTTTGCTCCACCACAGTCTCCTGTGGTGTGCTGCCACAGGCCCAGTGCAATGGGGCAAAATGATCATCAATCTCTAAAACACTGAGCTAAAATAAACCTTTTCTCATTTATCTAGTAATACTGTATTATATCAGCTATATATTATACTGATGAAAAGCTAACTCTAAAGATGGTAGGATGCTTCCCATCTTCATGATTTTGCTTACAAAGTTCCCCTAACAGAGTCCTCTTTCTTTGATTAACTTGTAAATGCTGTGCACAAATTCCCTTTCACAGTGAAACCTACCCTTGTAACCTATCCACACTCTCAAAGATGCTTTGGTGCTAACTTCAAAAAGTGCTACTTTAAGCTAAGTGCTGGTGGGTCATGCCTGAAATCCTAGCCACTTAGAACACTGGTATCTGTAAAAGAGGTACAAAGCTATTGTCTAGGCAGAAAGGTCTGTGGACTCTTATCTCCAATTAACCAGCAAAAAAAGCTGGAAGTAGATGTAGGGCTCAATAGTAGAGTACCGACCTTGAGCCCAAAAGCCAAGTGAGAGTGCAAGGTTCTATATACCAATACAAAAAAAAAATGGCTGGAAGGAAGGAAGAAAGGGAAGGAGGGAGGGTGGGAGGGAAGAAGGGAAGAAGTCAGGGAGGGAGAGCTACCTTAGACTTGGTTCAAATGGCTCAGTAAACTCTCTCCCTTTTACACTGGTACACATTCATCTTATGTGTATGTGTGTGTGTGTGTTGGTAAGGATCAAATCCAAGGTTTCTTGCACATTAAGCAAGAAATATACTGAGATATACTTTCAGGACTTTGGTTCTAATTTTAAAATTCAAAATCCCTAATGATGTGAGTATATTAATGCATTCAATAAATACTTACTGAAAAATCTGTTAACTTTTCTTTCTACCCTATCTTAGTAGTTACTTATAAAGACAAAAATCAAATTGCTAATCAGAATGAAGCTAAATGTACTAACTTCAATAGTCTTATAGTTTGTGTAATCATAAAAGACTATGAACTGGGTACCAGTGGCTCAGGCCCATAACCTTAGCTGAGATCTGAGGATCATGGTTTGAAACCAGCCCAGGAATGAAAATCTGTGAGACTCTTATCTCCACCAAAAAAGCCAGAAGTAGAGGTATAGTTCAAGTATTAGAGTGCTAGCCTTAAGCAAGAAAGCTTGAGGATAGCACCCAAGACCCAGAGCAAGCATACACACACACACACACACACACACACACACACACACACACACACACAGTATAAACTTTAAAAACGATATTATTGATTGGGACATATGGGAGAGAATGATAGAGTGACATTAATCAAAATGCATTGTATTCATAAACTGACATATTAAATTAAAACCCTTTGTATAATTACTTAAAGATAATTTTAAAAACTATTATTAATATATGTATTTGTTTAATTTTGAAGTTCAATAATATATTTCCCTTGCTGCCCCCTTCTGGAAGTATTAGAAAATATAATTAAAATTTGTTAGACAAAACTTTAAAAAAAATACCATGTAATAGGTATTACTATTTCAATTACTTGAACAAAAATAATACTATTGGACTGAGTTTTTCACATACTTTGAGTAACTAACACTATAAAAACTGTATGTCATCTTGAGAATAAGCTACTTCATAATCTCTGAACCTTCTAAATCTCAAATTGCTAGTTAAAGAGAAGAGTCAAATTGTATCTATGGGAGGAGTATCACTGGCTCAATTGGTAGAGCACTAGTCTTAAGCCAAAAAGCTCAGGGACAACACCCAGACTCTGAGTTCAGGCCCTAGGATGGGCACATGCATACGTACACGCGCATGTGCGGGTGTGCACAAACACACACACACACACACACACACACACGAAGGACTTTGGGACAAAATAAGGGTGATTGAGAAGCTACTTCAAAATAATGCATAAATAGATGAAAAATCTAACTAGTGAATACAATTAACATGAATAGAAGTCAAAAGTGAAAGATTTTCAAGAAAGAAGTGGTGAATATGAAAGTTACGAGATCAAGTAAAATAAGAGCTGAAAAATGACCATCAGATGTATAATTAAGACATCAATGATAAGCAACTTTTCAGTATACTTATCTTACTCTATATTAAGGTAGAGAAAAGTTGGCCAAAAAAACTGGACTATACCAAGAAGTTTGTTGGGAACATAAAAGTTGGAGTGACCTGTAAGGTTAGGGACAGATATCAAAAATTATCTAGTTGAGAAAATAACATCTACATACTGAAGATAACAGAATCACTAAACAGGGGCCCAAGAAGACCACACTTCCTTTAAGAAGAAAACAAGTAGAATGGATTCCATGGTGACTTACCATTTTCTAATTAAATATTTTGGGAGGAAAAGAAACCTGCCTGGATCCCAAGGACACAAAGGGGGTACTCTCACTGTACCAAATGGGATGGCCACCTAGAAATATAATAGAATCTTTACTAGTTCCTGAATTGGAAAAAACTGATATTCCAGAATATTATTTAATAAATTAATATATCTCATTAAAATTAAGCCAAATCCATCATATCTTCTGGGCTAATGTATCAGCCTTCAAACTGGTTTCCCACACATTTTTGCTATTTTCCAATCCGTCTCCACACAGCAATAGGATGATTTTTTTCAAAATGAAAATCTTATTATTGGTACTCCATTACTTAAAACTGCCTCAATTTTTCCTAGGACAAAGAAAAAGCTCCTCAATATAGCCTTTAAAACTTGAATGGATCTTCCCTGACTACCTGGTCCAGTCCCTCTTCCCACTGCTTAATGATGTAGTTTCCTGACACAAAGCCTTCAGACGCACCATGGCCTCTCACTGGATTTAACTTCACCAAACTAACTCAGTTCTAGAAGAAGATGCTCCCTCCCTTCCTAGGCTAAGAAGGTTTTGTTTGTTATTTTTTTTTCCCCCAACTCAATTAGTACCATATTTCTGATCTTTCTTTTATACAACTTAACCCAAGCTATAGTTTACACTCATTTTCATGAGGCTTTATGGAATATCTTTCCCTTGCTCCTGCTGGTAAATGCTAAATGCCATAAAAAAAATAACCAACTTTCTGTTTATGCTAATCATGTGTATCTAGGATCTAAAGTAGTATTTGTCATGTAGCATTCATTGAATGAATAAATGAATGAGCAAGGTATTTAGACATTTAACAAGTACCTGTGGTTAGAATTCACCTGCTGTCAATTTCATTTCTGCCTATCTCTTGAAAATAAACATACAAGAGGAATTCTCTGAACTTACTTCACAAGTCAGCTAAATGTTTCATACCCATTAGCTCTAAATGTTACTGTGTTTTTATATCAAATGAATATATGAAATGACATAAATAAGCTTTCACAGGCTCTTCAAGTAAACTTTTTTCAATTTTTAAAAATTTTACTATATAGATGATATACAGAATGGATACAATTCAAGCAATCTTTTTATTAATAAAAAGTTAGTATGACAAAAGGGATAGTAAGATAAGTTTCACAAGTACAATCACTAACAAAATTTTTAAAAATCACCTGTTACTTACATATATATTTCCTCAAGGCTGTTCGATAAATCCACACGTTCTTGCCCTTTTAACCAAGGAGCACTAATTGAATAAAACACAATTTTAAAAAAAAGATTATCCAAAGATTATGTTTATATTTCAAACAGAAATTACTTATTAGTACACAAATTATTTTAATTTTTTAAAGTATCTGCTTTCATGTAAATGATGTCTATATTTGTATACTATGCAAATTTGAAACTCTTTCATTAGCATTAATTTATTAATCTTCCTCACAAGCCATGACAAAATCAACACCAAATTAGCCAGTTTTAAGGGCTTAAAAAATAAAGATGAAAGCCAGGTACTAGTAACCCTAGATACTCAAAAGGCTGAGATCTGAGGATAGGGGTTCAAAACAAGCCAGGGCAGGGAAGTCCATGAGGCTTTTATCTCCAATTAACAACCAAATATCCAGTAGAGCTATGGCTCAAGTGGCAGAGCACTAGCCTTGAGCACAACAGCTAAGGGACAGCATCCAGGCTCTTGGTTCAAGCACCTGGACAGGTACTATATAAATTTTTTTTAGTGAACAAACACAAAGATAAGTTCATAGGATCTCATAAACTTTCCAAGTTTACTTAAGTGACAGAACTGATTGTAGAAGCTAAATATCCAGATTAACAATATGTGCCATAATACCAGGAGTTCTCAATTTTATTATCTGGTCTCTCAAAAACAACTTACAAGTAAGGTAGTTCCCAGATGATTGTGAAAAACATTTAGCTTTTTCTAAAAACATTGAGATTTAAATTTTTTTCTGTATTTATCATTTTCATTAAATAAAAATGAGCTGGTCGCAGGTGGCTTACACTTGTAATCCTAGGTACTCAGAAGGCTGAGATCTGAGGATCATGGGTCCAAAGCCAGCCCAGGCAGGAAAGCCAGTGATACTCTCATCTCCAATTAACCACCAGAAAACCTGAAGTGGTAGAATGTTAGTCTTGAGTGAAAAAGCTGAGAGACAGAGCCCAGGCCCTAAGTTCAAGCCCCACGAGGCACGCACACACACGCACGCACACACACACACACGAGTTATTTTACTAATTAGTTTTATTACTATAGATTTATTTATTTATTGTGTGTACATGAAAGTAGTAGGGCTTGAACTTAGGGCCTTCCCCTCTCGCCTAGATTTCTCTGCTCAAGGCTAGCACTTGACCCACACCTCCAATTCTGGCTTTATTCTGGTTAACTGGAAGTAAGAGTCTCTCAGCTTTCTCTGTCTAGACTGGCTTTGAACCCAAATCCTCAGCTCTCACCCTCTTGAGCAGCTAGGATTGTAGGCATCAGTCACTGGTGCCTGGCATTACTATGGTTTTAAAATACACAAACAATAATCCCACTACTAGATAAAAGTATTAGTAAATGTTTTTTGCAAATTTATTCTCTTGGTTTACACATACGATGAGGCCAAAATCAGCAAAGTAGATCACAGGTCACTTGCATCAACAGATCATAAGGAATAAAGGTTAATTTTAGATTACTAAAAAAATAGCTCCTCAATAACATGAAGAAAGGGTCAAGAAGAATCACCAGAAGCATGCTGGCTAACTCCTAGAAGGCTGGCCATCTTAAGTAAAGGTCAAAAAGGAACTATAACTGTCAGGAGAACTAGGTTAGGAAAAATAAACTCCAAGGGCCAGTTTCCAGATTACTAACTGGAATAACTAGTTATTTTACCCCTTTGCCCTCTGTGACTGGTTTTTACTAAGATGCAAATGTCAATGTGTAGGGTTTTTTGTTTGTTTGTTAAGATACTGGGATTTGAATTCAGGGCCTCATACTGTTCATGGCTGGTGATCTACCTCTTGGGCTATATCTCATGTTTCTCAATGTGGGTGAGGTTTTGTTTTGTGCTGGTTCTAGGGCTTGAATGCAGGACCTGGTCACTGTCTCTGAACTTTTGCACTCAAGGGTAGCCTTCTATCCCTTGAACCACAGCTCCACTTTCTTCCCCCAGCTGACTTTAAACCATGATCCTCAGATCTCAGTCTCCTGATTAGCTAGGATTACAAGCATTGAGCTGGTAATGCACAGCTTTCAATGGGTTTTTAGGTTTTCTTTTTTAAGTTACATACTCTATGCCAAATTAGGTGTTTTTAATTTCTACATACATTTCAATTTTTAAAGTATTTCACATAAACATAATGTACAGTATGGAAAATACCTTTTATAGCACAAATTTTTTTATATAAATATAAAAGGAGAAATATAGCTTACTTCAGTTGATAGATGGGTGGAGCTGTACCTGGATATTCACTAGGAAGCATCACCTACAATGCAGTTTAAAACAAATCTGTTTATACTTCCTTCATCATGCATCAGAAATAATCAAGCTAGTCAATTAACAAATTTCTAATCTGACAAACCAAACAATTTTTATATTAGACATCAGAAGAGAATTCCCTCCGCAAATTTATACTTCCATACTGAATATATTGTGTGACTGCCAATGTTAGCTCCTCCAAGAGAGGAGCAAATTGTTTGCAGAGAAAATATAAATACAATAAAGATCAGAACAAATGAGGGTGAGGGGAATGAAAGAAAAAAGAAAGCTAAAACAGCCATAACGCCATCACCTCCCAATGGGCAATTTGTATCATTTTCCGTAAAATTTCCTGGATACAAAAAAAAAAAAAAATCCTGTGAAATTTATCAAATACACTATACAGAAAAGGATGTTACTTAATACAGAATCACACACATTTATTTTCAAATTAGTATTATCATAACAAATACTGGCACTCAATTTAGCATCCTTTATGTTGAAAGCATAAGTACTAAGCAAATAAGCACTAAGGAAGCCATGCTGATCTTTCCATTTATTTTATTCTAATTCTCAATAAAGAAATGTGTCTACTCTATGGATCAGTCACATTATTAGAGGTTTAGACCATCTTTAGAGGTTTAGACCTTTGCATATTACATAGATGAACAAAAGGAAGTAAAACTCATTTGTCAACGGTACATTAACATTTTTAATAATTAAAATAATTGAGATAAAGATTCAAACGACTAATAAAAGTAAGATTTGAGCGTGATTCATACCTAGATAATCATGACAAAAATTAATAGAGACTATTCAGAAAATAACTCATGTAAGAATATGTTCAACCACATATTAACTACTGGGACAGGAAAATGGCGGCAGAGAAAAAGAAAAGAAAAAAATATATATACCTGCAAGCAAAGTGTCCACTTGGGGTCATCTATATCGTCGCTAATTCTAATACAAAATATTTTGGCACAGTCATCAATGACACACCATTCTTCGCCATAAATGGCTGCCATTGCTTCAATTTCCTCATTCTAAAAGTTGATTAAAGAAGAAAAGGTCAGCAAATGTACAAACCTATCGCTAGCCTGGGGGAAGTCAAAAGTGCTTAGCAGTAGGACAACCATCTCTTACTCTTAACTCATTTTCTGACTTACTGCCACGACTGGGACTAGCCTTCCTCCTGCGTTACCAAGGCTTTGGCCTTTTCCTTATCCTGAGGTGATTCACAGGTGCAAAGATAAACAAGACAGAAATCCAGCCCCCAGGACCATTCCTAATAGTTTTTCATTCTGCCTACATTCCAGCTGAGTTGTTTTCCTTTTTCTTTTTCTGAAACTAGGCCTTGATTTATGTTTCGTTTTGGTAATCAGACCTTGAAACCTTCTTTTGCTTTGCGATTAGAAATAACTAGATCTAAAGGTGAAAAAATGGGAAGCCTATACAGGCATTCGACTTTGGATAAATTCATTGTATCCACAGGGCCCGGTAAGAAATGCCTCATGAGCACCCACATGAACCACGCACGGTAGAAAACTCCAGACCGGGAGATCCACGGGCTCTCAAGGAACTGCAGGGTCGGTGTCAATGCACTTTTTTCCCCCTCAAAGGGAAAAAAACAAAAACAAAAACTGGGCTTAAGGACCGGGCCTAGGTGACCCAGTAAGGTACAGAACCCGGGTTCCAGCCTTGGGCCCAGAGTTGCTCAGGCGCGTGCCAATGGTAGACGAGGACAGCGGCCTTGGGCCGGGCCTGCAGCCGGCCCAGGAGAGCTGGGCTGAGGGGAAGCGCTGGCACAATGGACCGCGGTGGAGCACTCGGCAAGGCCCGAGAGGTCCGGGCAGTGCGGGCGCGACCCGGGGTGGCCCCGGGAGGCGGCGGCCTGGGAAGATGAGGCGAGGCCGAGCTGAGCCAGGAAGGTCGGCGCTCCGCTAGGGCCTCACCTGCCTCTGGTCGCTCCCTGCGTCCCCCTCGGCCATGAGGCCCCCCGAGAGCGGCCCCCCGTAGCCGCGATGGGACCGGGTCCGGAGAGCAGGGGGGGCGGGGAGCGGCGCGGCGAGCAGAGCGCGGGCGGCAGCGCGGCCGGACCCGGAACCATAAACCCGGCACCACAGCGTTCCCGCTTCTACTTCCGGGTTGCGAGGCAGCTGGGGGCGAGGGTTGCCGTGGTCGCTGGGCTTGAGAGACAGCTGCCAGGCGCGGCCCCTTGCCCGCGCTCCGTGTCCTAGCCATGGGACCCCCCCCCCCGAAGACCAGGGGAAGCTGCAGCCCCGAGGAGCCGCCGGGGAGCTTCTCGCCTGTGCTTGTTGCAGACTGCCTGGGGCTGGGGGCTTCTGCTCGCCTTGGCCTCCTTGAGAAGCTCCCCCACCCAGCCACCGCGGAGACCTGGGGAGCTGGAGTGCACCGCCCAGCCCCAGGGAGAGAGGAGACACCTGCAGCTTCCACTTCCAGGCAGGGGTGTTGTTTGTTTTAACATGTCTTAAGGCATGTTGTCTTGGAAAATCTAGTTTTGATTTACCAAAAAACAAAAACAAGGAGGCAGGAGAGGGCAAGCAATGTTGAAAACGTGAGGGAAAAACCTTATCCTTGTATTGCTATGGTGTTTTAATGCCCTTGAACATTTTGTCTAAGAACAGCTTTTGGAGGAGACCCTAGTTAGGCCAGTTAGCCAAAAGAGCATTATTATATTACCTGCCCACCTCCCCCCAAAAAAATTTGAACCAATTTCTTGGCATTTCTCCCATAACCCCCAACATACATTCAGTGTCACATTCCAATATATTTACAAATTATATTGTCAAACTTATTCCAGATAACCTCAACCAAGATATTTATTCTGTTCTTTGGGAGTGTATTTTGCCCTCCAGTGTTCACAAAGACGCATATACAAAAATACTCAAAATAGTGCATCTTGCTGCTTTTCCTCATAGACATTTTTCTGGCTACCTTTTAAGCTTTACTCAGATTATGGATGCACTGCAAAAATGCCTGAAATTTGCTCAACAGACATTGGAAAACATTGGAAATATAAAACTTAATATCATGTGTTGCCTTTAGGAAGCTAGAGGGAACAAAAGTAAACCAACAGTAAAAAGTGGACTACAAGTTTATCCCATTGTCTTCTACAAAGAATAGTGCTAGCCTTGAGCAAATAAAACTCAGGGACAATGCCCAGGCCCTGATTTCAAGCCCCAAGATGGCACAAACAACAACAAAAATCTAGTAAGTGTTTGATTCAGAAAACTGTATGAGGGCCTGGGAATGTGGCTCAGTAAGTAGCGTGCTTGCCTAGCATGCATGAAGCGCTGGGTTTGATTCCTCAGTACCATATAAACAGAAAAGGCCAAAAGTAGTGCTGTGGGTCCAGCAGTAGAGTGCTAGCGTTGAGCAAAAAGCAGCTCAGGGACAGTGCCCAGGCCCTGAGTTCAAGCCCCAGGACTGGCAAAAAAGAAAAAGGGAGGAGGAAGAGCAGGAAGAGGAAGAGGAGGAGGGAAGGGAAAAGGAGGAGGAGGAGACGGCAGCTGGTGGTTCCTGCCTGTAATGCTAGCTACTTAGGAGGCTGAGATCTGAGGATCGCAATTCAAAGCCAGCCAACAGAAAAGTCCAATGAAATTCTTATCTCCAATTAAGCCTTGAACAAAAGAGCTCAGGGAGAGCACCCAGTTCAAGCCCTATGCTGTCAAAAAGAAAAAGAAAACAAAATAAAAACACTATGAAGTTTCACCAACTTAATAACTCAGGGACTGTTGTATGGTGGGAACAAAACTCCTGATTTCTTATCTGTTTTTCTAAACATATGTGAGAAACCAATCATTCCTCTTTCTCAACTCATGTAACCTGTTTAATAATCTAAAATTCATTTTCACTCCTTCCTGTCTAGAGTTTAATATACTATGCCCTTTGCACTGTTGAAAAAGCAAGTCTCACACTCATTACTAATATCCATTCACAATCTATTACTACAATTACCCAATTTTTTTAATTTCTAAGCTCATAATCCAGTTAAGGGGTACTTGGCCTGCATCATTAGAACATAGAGGGTAAGAGCATGGCCTTGCAAAATATACTATTTGATTTAATTCTCCACACATGCTATTTATCCAAACTTGGGCAGGTAAGTTAGTCTCTCTGAGACTTGCTTTCCTAATCTATAAAATGAGACTGTTAATGTTTATGTTGATAGTTCTTAAAAAAATAAAAGTAAGGAATCACCTAGCACATTTTTTTTTGTCAGATGTGGGGCTTGAACTCTGGGCCTGGGGGCTGTCCCTCAGCTCTTCAGCTCAAGGCAAGTGCTCTACCACTTGAGCTACAATTCCACTTCAGATTTTCTAGTGGTTTATTGGAGATAGGAGTCTCACGGTCTTTCCTGCCCAAGCTGGCTTTGAACCTCGATCCTCAGATCTGAGCCTCCTGAGTAGCTAGGATTACAGGCATGAGCCACCGGCGCCTGACTACATTTTGTGGCATGTAGGAAGCATACAAGAAATGATAGCTATTGTAACTGAAATTATATGTGCCTATAGCATCTAAACTACTTGGAAGCTTAAGGTAGGAAGTTGAGGTAGGAATTTTGCTTAAGCCCAGGAGTTGCCTGGGCAACCTAGCAAGATTCAGTCTCAACAAACAAACCTTAAAGTCCATCTATGATATAGTATCCTTAGTGTATAGAGCAATGGGCTCCAATAAGAGAAGGGGAAAGCTTCAGAAAAAATAATACAATAGTTCAAATCATTTGTTGCTTTATGGATTGTCTATATGGGTTGCTTTATAGGTTTTTGTGTCTATAGCAATAGATGAACATTAGAGACATCATGAACATGCATTTCTGAAATTAAATGAAGAACCTTAAAACTTTCATGATATAGTAATGATAAGGAATTTTGCCTACTGGGTTCCCTTGCATCCCTTTGACAGAATAAATTAAGTTACCCACAAAATATTGCACTGGTAATTGAAATGGAATTAATTTGAAGTAAGCAGTGTATCAGTTAGGGTTTCAACAGGAAATATAAGAAATTTAAATTATTTAATTGAAGAAAGATTAAGGAAGGGATAACTTAAAGAAGAGGCACAGTCAAAGGACCCCACAAAGAATAGAGAAACTGCTAAAGATGATTAAATGCAGGAAGCTGTTAAAACTCCCAGGACTGAATGGAATATATATATATATATGAAATTCGCAAAAGCTGCAACCACAGAACAGTAACTACTCATGAGAATCTATCTATGACTGTTTATGTAGCCACTGTCAGAAATTACTGGCAAAATAATAGGGATAGGTGAGGAAGAGACAAAGTGTCAGAGGAGATATAATATTATTGATACTCCTATAGGGCTCTTCCTTTTGCTTATGCTCTTTCTCCTGCTGATTGCCTCTCATCCTCTGAATCCATTATTGAAATATCCTTTGTCAGAGGGGAAGAAAGAAACATGGTCATCTACAGAGGCTAGCCTCCAGGAGAGAGAGCTGTGAAGGAAGAGAATATATCTGGAAGTGCTATAAGCCACTTTCAGATCCTTCCATCAACATCTGGACATTTTCCCTGGGACCATTTCTTTCCAGTCCAGTCCATGCATTGATGATGTTGGTGCCCCCTAAAGGAAGAACCAGGACCTGAAGGGCTATGAAGTAGCACCACATTCCATTTATGATAGGATGCCTTGGAGGGTTTTTTGGGAGGGAGGGAGTGGACAGGGGAGGGGGAGGAGCTTCTTTGATGATTTCCTCTCTTCTGAGCTTCTGAATACTTTTTCTGTACATGTGTAGAAGATATTTGCAAGTGGATATTTAATATTATCTCACAGGACAGTGGTGGCTCACACCTATAATCCTAGCTATTTAGGAGGCTGATATCTGAGGGTCATGATTCAAAGCCAGCCCCAGCAAGGAAAGTCCTTGAGACTTTTTTCTCCAATAAACTACCTGAAAACCAGAAGTGGCACTTTGGCTCAAGTGGTAGAGCACTTGCCTTGAGCTGAAGTGCTCAGGGACAGTGTCCAGGCCCAGAGTTCAAGCCACAACCAATACCACCACCACCACCAACAACAACAACAAAAAAGTTATCTTATGTGAAACCCAGCATTTTCCATCCAAATTCAAATTTTTCTCCAGACTATATTATTTTCATGTATCAACTGCCTTTCTATCTTACTCATTGAAGGGGTCATTCAAGAGTATTTATTGTGGATTCTTTAACTTTCCATAACCTGCATGGGGAGCAGGAAATTATTTTCTCTCCTTTTCTAGTTCTCCCTACTTTTACCCAGTTATACTAAAACAAATCCTTGCTAAAATTTCAATTATACTAGATCTAGTCTTTAATCTGTGCTACTTACTGTTATAAATATGCTCTCTAACAACCAGTGGACTCATAGCAATTGACATGAAAATAAAGAATTGACTCAGGGAAGCAAATTTTCCTTCTGCAGAAGGATGGGCCGTCAGCCAAAAATTTGGCAAGCAAGCACACAGAGAAGGCAGGCTGCTCCCTTATTTACCCCTAAGAAAGCATGTCCTCCACCTCTGCTCAGATTGATTGAAATCAGATTCACAGTGTGTTGGCAACTAGCTAGTTTGAACAAGATAAAACGCATTTACATAAGGTGGCCATTAAAAGACTTACCCACACCCCCTTATTTCTTGAACAACCTGAGGTGTGTCTTAATTCCAACTTGAAAAGAAACCAGTTTAAGACAATACTTTACCCTTCAAAAATCCCTCCTTGGGCTGGGAATGTGGCTTAGTGGTAGAGTGCTTGCCTAGCATACATGAAACCCTGGGTTCGATTCCTCAGTATCATGTAAACAGAAAAAGCTAGAAGTGATGCTGTGACTTAAGCTCAGGGATAGTGTGCAGGCCCTGTGTTCAAGCCCCAGGACTGGCAAAAAAAAAAAAAAAAATTCCCTCCTTACAAGCAAGTCCTCTTTTTCTTAACCAGAGCCATGTCACTAGGACAAAGCAGGAAACTTTAAGCAACATACTTTAATAGAAAAGAGTTTTTCTCACTTTACTGAAGACCAAAAATAAGAAAGACATGGTTTCCTTTTGTGTATATGTGTGT